CTCATTTCAAAAATTCAACACTCAATTCAAAATTCAATTCAAAATTCTTTTCAAAACTCATAATTAAACAAATTTTTTATTTTCTATTTTCGAATCATAATTGAAAATTTAAAATTCAACTCCACACTTAAATTATAATTCTAAACACAAACCAAACGCTATCATAAGTTCTACATATTGAAGGTTGACAGACGATATATTTTTTAAAAGTTTTTGTAGTTTGAGACCTTATGGTTCTAAAAACATTCTTCGTGACAAGTCTATTTACAAGGATTGGATGATCTTTTTTTCTTTTTTTTTTTTAAGTTATAGCTTTTTCCAATTTTTTAGTTTTGTAATGGTTAAAATAAGTCATGTTGTTTGATAATGTTTTTAGTGTTTTTAACTTTTTTATAACTTACATTTAGGAAGAAATTTTATTTTATTTTTTGTTGGTGTTGTTGTTGTTGTTAATTTCCTTCTTTGATGAACTTATTTTTTAAAGTCTTTTTTTTTTTTTTTTTAATTTTATGTAACTTACGTGACCCTAATTTTTTTACCCAAAAAAAAAAATGGATAGATTTTGAAAAAAAATCCAAACCAAAAATATTAAGTCCGGGAGCAAAAGGAATAAAGTTTTCTTTTGGACTAAAATGTGATATATATATATATATATATATTTGGGCTTGTTTTATGAAATAAGTTGTTTTTTTTTTTCTCTTCTTTTTTTTAGATTCAAAAAAAGTTTAGGAGGAGGGGAGGCTACCCCATTCTAGGGTCAGGGAAAGCGTTACGCAATATCGCCCATCAACAAAGGACTGCCGGCAACGGGACTCGAACCTAAGCCAAATAGGCGAAGGGAACAAGCCTTACCAATTGAACCAACCCTTGTTGGTGTTTTTTTTTTTTTTTTTTTCTCTTCGTCAAAAAGTCTACTTGGATTATCTTATTCTGCTTTTATTTTATTTTTAAGTTATAGAACATTTTCTAATGGAAAATATTTTTTATGGAAAATATTTTTCTAAGGTGGAGGTGGTGGCATGATGGTGGAGCAACGGTAGTGGTGAGAGCGACAATGATGGTGGCGGCAGCGGCGGTGACATTAGTAAAATTTTAGTTCGAAACATATTTTCCGCTTTTTAAAAGTAGAAAATATTTTCTATCCAAATTAGCTTGTTTTTTATTTATCATAAAAAATATTTTTCACCGACTTTCGTTTTTCATTGTATCAAATATCAAAAAATACAAAAAATATTCTCCACCCAAACAAACGGAGAGTTCTATGGCGCATTTTTTTTTAGATTGGAATAAAATGCCATTTTAATGGGAGAAAAAAAAAATTCTACATGTTAATAATTTTGGAACTTTTTCTGATCATCCATCAAAGTTTCTCCAAAAAAAGTTAAATGATTTATCGATCACAACACCTAATAAGCTGATGTAGCTGAAAAACTTGACTTGAAGAGAATAATCTATTGCAAACACGAATCTATTGAATCCTAATTAAAATTACCAAAATCAAAGAAAAAACTAAAATGAAATCTCTCAAATTGGGAAAGCTAAGTTGGTCTACTTTGTTCCGTTTGTTTTGGTGGCTGTTTTTTGAATTGGCTTGTCTATCTATCTGTGCTGATCTCTATTTGATCTGTTGGTCTGCCAAGAATCCTATTATTTGACTTGGTGGCTGTTTTGGCTGTTTGGGGTCTGCATGCTGCTATGTACAGGCCTGAAGAGCTGCTGTAAGTTTGGCTGTTCTGTTCTGGTCTACTTCTATCGGTGGCAGTTCTGGTCTGTGCAGGTTCTATGGGATGATAAAATGGCGGTGATAAAATGATGTTTGGGGTCTGCTGTAGTGTTGGCCTGATGGAAACTCAATGGTTTGGAGCTGTGTATGCTATGTGTATTGCTGTGGTATTGCTGATTGACTTGTATTCCTATCTGTGCTAATTCTGCTTCTGAGGTATTCTGAGGCTTGAGCTTGCTTCTGCCCTGTAGTGAGGAGTGCTGATCTAATTTGTGCTGCTGCTGGGCTACTGATAAAAGGAGCAATTACTCTATGGTGGAGATGGGCTACGGTTATAAGGAGTAACTACTAAATATGGAATGCTGTTTTGTTCTGTTTTTGATCTGTTTTGGTTAGTTTTCTGGGTGAGGTTGTTTTGGTTTTGTGGTTGGTTCGTCACCAACTCGTGATAGTGTGCTAGCATATGATCGGGCGGTCTTATTGGTGCCGGACTTTGCTGGGGACCCCCAGTGGGGGAGACCTCCAGTGACCCCAGTGCCACATGGGGTTCTGCCATTGGCTGAAAGCAAAAAAAAAAAAAAAATGTTTTTTGGACCAATCACAAGAGACCCCAGCACCTCCACTGGGGATCTCATGCATTTTCCTATTGGTGCCAACCTAATTGGAATTGATTAAGTTCGCTATGATGTTTTTTGCATTCATCCTCCTCTTTCTTTATTGTTGCAATAGTTTTTGTTTCATCGATAGAGTTCCTTTTCTTTGCCGATAAAATATATATATATATATATATATATGTTCATCAATTAGCTGGAGTCATAGAGCTTACAAATCATTATTTATAATAAAAGATAATGGTTAAAACAACTAAGAATACTAAAAAACAAAAAAAAAAAATTAAGAAATAAAATTAAGTCTTGTAGAGCCATCTTAATTATTTTAGAAAAAAAAAAACTATAAAATAGTAAAAATAAATCAACATAGAATATATAATTTAAAAAATTCTAAGACATTCTATGCTAAACGGAAAATATCCCTTACCAAATAATATGTGATTCAAAACAATAAAATAAAAATAAAAATATTATTGTCCCTAAAATCCGGACTGCATCATAAGTTATGAACAAAGAAGAAAGAAATCATGAAACGATCTCCTGTTGGTAGTGTTGTTTCTGTTGTTGTTTCCATAAATTCATTTGAATTATAGTGCACTTTAAACTCCGCTCTTGAATCTGCAATTAAGTTCAGTGTAAATGTTAGAAGCAAAAGATTTTAAATCGAATCATGCCCAACAAATCTATTTTACATTGTACAAGTACATACATAATATTTCTAATATATTTAGTTACCTTCTATGTCTGAATTTTGATTTTCTCCATTTCATAAATGGAATAAATATTTTGTTTTTATTTTATTTCATACAGTTGTAATACATAATTAAAATATTAAATGGATGGTCTATAACTACTACATCATGGTAATTGAAAGTAGTAATATTAAAAAAAATTCAACTTTTTAAACTATTTTTGAATTTAAAATAAAGATTTGGTAATTTGAATCTATCATAGTAATTGATCATGAAATGAAAATATACATTGCATCTATAAAACTGAAAGGATTTGAATCCCCTCAGACTGTTTAATGTCATGGTACCAAACCTTCGGTGACATGATTCGACGACAATAATTCATAGTCGCAAACCTTCCCATACTTCATCCCTTATAAGGTGACGAAATAAAATTGCATTTTATTGTAGTGGTGAAATAACTTATAGTCCTATAGTCTTACAAAACAACATTGTTACATTTGAACTAATAAACAATGTGCGACTTTCAATTACCTCTAGTGTTGAAAGTACCCTGAAATTCTCGAACAATTCTTCCAAAAGTGCCTTCTCTTGTGCTACAATCTGTGCTAGTTCCGAAAGCATCGAAACTGTCTTCTCAGCCTGTTATAACATGAATGATCATTTCTAAAGTAGTGTTCACACACACACACAAGCAGTGGACTGAGTACTTACCCCTGGTGAGAAAATGGATAACATGGACTTGATGGATGTTGCAAGATCTGATCCATGTCGAAGTGCTATGGAAGTTGAATGTGTCTCCATCTACAAATTTAGATTTGTCAGTTAAATGCTCTTATCGATGTTGTTATGTTGTTGAATTATGATATGATGACTAGATTTTTATCAACAATACAATACTAACTATTCTAAAAAAATATTTGAAAATTTCTCAAAAAATAGTATGTAGGACTAAAACTATTTTGCATATGCGAGCAACTAACATCAACACAAATTTGCATCAGCATCATACATTTATTTTTTTTAGTACTTTCTGGGGTGCATAATGTTTTTTCAAAATTTTGTACCATCCATGTAACTCTAACCATACTCTTTATTTTAGCTATTAATCCAAATACTATTAATTTTATAGAATGCCACGTCAACAACAAAGATGGAGGGAAATGATCCTAATGATTGAATACATTTTGCCTAGCGTTGAAGGCTAGCTACATGTAGCTAGTGAATATGAGTTGAGCCAAAATGCCTAACCATATGCCTAGTGCGTTGGAATTGAAAAAAATGAATCACACTAGGCATTTTAACTAACAAGTATTATATGCCTAGTGCATTGGAGATGCTCTGCTATGTCTGAATTTTTATTTTCTCCATTTCATAAATAGAATGAATATTTTGTTTTTATTTTATTTCATACGGTTGTAATACATAATTAAAATATTAAATGGATGGTCTATAACTACTACGTCATGGTAATTGAAAGTTGTAATATTAAAAAAAATTCAACTTTTTAAACTATTTTTGAATTTAAAATAAAGATTTGGTAATTTGAATCTGTCATGGTAATTGATCATGAAATGAAAATATACATTTCGGTCATGTTTGTTTGGGTGGACATGAGCTTGGGATTGGACTAATAGTCCAATAAAATTACTAATCCAATGTTTGATTAAACAATTGAAGTACGGACTAATTATTTTAAACTTGACTATTAGTTAAGATAGGATACATAATCCAATGGATTTGTACCCCTAGGACTATTAGTCATGGGAATACTAATCCAATCCGCCCAAACAAACATGGCCTTCATCTATAAAACTGATGGGATTCGAATCCCCTCAGACTGTTTAATCTTTTGGCACCAAACCTTCGGTGACATGATTCGACGACAATAATTCATAGTCACAAATCTTCCCATACTTTATCCCTTATAAGGTGACGAAATAAAATTGCATTTTATTGTAGTGGTGAAATAACTTATAGTCCTATAGTCTTACAAAACAACATTGTTACATTTGAACTAATAAACAATGTGCGACTTTCAATTACCTCTAGTGTTGAAAGTACCCTGAAATTCTCGAACAATTCTTCCAAAAGTGCCTTCTCTTGTGCTACAATCTGTGCTAGTTCCGAAAGCATCGAAACTGTCTTCTCAGCCTGTTATAACATGAATGATCATTTCTAAAGTAGTGTTCACACACACACACAAGCAGTGGACTGAGTACTTACCCCTGGTGAGAAAATGGATAACATGGACTTGATGGATGTTGCAAGATCTGATCCATGTCGAAGTGCTATGGAAGTTGAATGTGTCTCCATCTACAAATTTAGATTTGTCAGTTAAATGCTCTTATCGATGTTGTTATGTTGTTGAATTATGATATGATGACTAGATTTTTATCAACAATACAATACTAACTATTCTAAAAAAATATTTGAAAATTTCTCAAAAAATAGTATGTAGGACTAAAACTATTTTGCATATGCGAGCAACTAACATCAACACAAATTTGCATCAGCATCATACATTTATTTTTTTTAGTACTTTCTGGGGTGCATAATGTTTTTTCAAAATTTTGTACCATCCATGTATCAATGCATGGAAAGTGAGTCCATTGCACAAATGAAATGATGACACATAAATAATAAGTGATTTTGGTACAAAAATCAAGTCATCATAGCATTACTTATTATTATTGTGCAATGTTTTTGGGTGATGTTTCGGTCTGTGCTGTGGAGCTTGCTGCTGTCTGTGCTGGTTTGATTTTTGGATGCTCCAGTTTTGTTTTGTTTTGCTGCTGCGAGTGTTTTACTTGTTTTGTTTTTGCTCTGTACGTTGGTTACTCACGAACTTGGAGCTTGGAGTTAGTGCTAGCAAATGATTTGGTATGCATCTAGGTGCCAACCTAGTTGGGATCTTAATGTTTCACTTTGATACTCTTTGCACCCTCCTCTTTATTGATGTACATTATCATACTTTGTATGTTTTCTTCATCAATAAAACTTCTTTTTGCTAATAAAAAAACAAAAAATTGTGCAATGTTTATATAGGATCATTAATTAGAAGATGTGGCAGTGATATTTTTATAATTAAAAGATATCATTATAATATATTTTTTTTGGCCATAAAGTAATAAGCGCAAAACTTAGCTACATCATTTTGTACAAATTTTTTTATATAATTTTTTTTGGTTTCAATGTAATTACATTAAATATAAATTAAAATTTTCTTACCTTTGCACCATCCACAAGGGGTATTCTACAAATAACTGAGTGTAAACAATCTTTGGTCATGGAAATTGTTGATGAGTGTTGTCTTTCCATGTCTCCCCAAGCTTCCAATGACTTAATCTACAAGTGAGTTCATATAGTACCATAAAAATGTATCATTGTCTCTATGTTTGTAAACTTCTATCATGTAGTGTATAATTGAATAATAAAATAAAATCATGTAGTGTCTATTACTTACTTGTGAATAAAGAATGAAATTCAGCTTCATCTCAAGCTTGTCTTTCTCAAGTTGTAGCTTCTTTTGTAGCACAGAATGTTGTAACTTTGCAATGCTATTGCAAGCATATATCAAATTGCTCTATCAAACCATAAGTGTAACTTGTGTCATTAATGAAGAGTACAATATGAACTTAGACAAATAAGAAAAACAATCCAAATGATGATCATTTTAGGCAAATCAACCTCAATCATTATCATTTTATCTATCTAAGCTCATATAGCATGAGAAAATGGTATACATAAAACAACAAATCTTTCATTTTATGTCTAACTCGTAATCATTCAATTATGTCTTAATCATTTAACAAATCTAAGCTCATATATTTATTAATGTGAGTTCTAAACCATTTTATAACTTGAATTATAAATAGCATTATGTATAGTATTGTTTTTTCTTAGAAGAATTTGACGCTCATGTTATTTCAAATTACTAATAGTGACTCCATCATCCACATCCACGTGTGAGAAGCTACAAGCTGAGTCTAGTGCAATCATTCCATATCCATTATAATATCTGTCTGATATGATTGTAACAGAATTAGTTAGAAGTTAGTTAGAGTTAGTGTAGTTAGAGTTAGTGTTAACTCATCATAGTTAGCCTTAAGTTTCAGAGGTTAGGTAGCTGTATATATACTACATATTGATCTGTAAACTAATAAGAGAGGAAAAGAGGCTTCAAATCTTCTTTAAAAGACCTACACATATTAGTGAAATTGGACTCTAAATATATCAATAAAGAACTTAATATCATTTGGAAGCCATATAGTAAGCCATGACATTGGATTCATGGAATTACAGTCCATGTACTAAGTTTCACAGACTTCTGCGGTAGTGAAAATCAAGAAAAACAATTTGGAAAATATATTTTTAAAACTTTTGAAGTCCCCAAAAAAATTTTGAATAAAAATTGAGGATGGTTCACCAAAAACTAAACAGAAATGACTTCTCTCCATGGAGATTTAAATGGACGGGTCTAGTCCAGACTGTTGGACTCACTATAAGGCCCATTTTAATAACTTGTATTTATTATTATAAGGCCCATTTTAATAACATGTATTTATTTTTTAGATCTTTTGTGTATATATAATTTATTCAACAATTATCACATGATTTTGTTGTACATGTTTTCGTTGTACATGTTTTCAAAAAAAAATACGGCAAGTTACCAACACCCTCTTGAGATTTGACTAAAATGCGGATTCTCCTAAGGTTTGAGAAATTACATTATGTCTCCTGAGATTTATATTTGCATCACAAATTATCCCTTGAGGTTTATGCAAATATAAACCTCATGGGACAATTTGTAATTTCTCAAACCTCAAGAAAGAATCCATATTTTAGTCAAATCTCGAGGGGTGTTGGTAATTTACCCAAAAAAAAAATAATAATTGACAGAATAATTTTTTAATTATATTTGTCCGCTATTTTTAAAAAAACAAATGTGATAAAATCTATGACTATCAAACAAATCAAAATAATTTATGAATGATTACAGACAAGTGTCCACAAACAACAGAACTTAACTAGACGACTCTATCCCATCTCTTCGATTGGAGCGAAGTTGGACCAAACCAAAAGTCTTACAAACTTGCAATTTTTATTAAATGAAAAAAAAAAAAAATCAATTTTGATAATTTTAAAAAAAATTTAGTTCTAAACTAAATAATAATTAAAAAAAATTTACTGAAAAATAAAAAAACAAATATAAGTGATCCCTACATTTCATGGATGGATTTCAGCTATTCATTTTATTTGATGTAAGTTTCCCAACCCATCATCAAAATTTTCATTTTTCTAGTTTAAATAAAAAAATTATCAATATAAATTTTTCACAACATGATGGCATACATGAGCAAACCACAAACAAGTAAAATTGTAAAAGCAAAGCATCAATGTTAACAAGAAGTACCTCAGCCTGATTACTCATCTTCTCATTCACAACATCAGCTCTAGCATTCACATATCTCCATTGAACCAATCTATTCTGCAGTAGTCGAAGTTGATGCACACTCTCCCCCATACCACACCCCGAAGGCGAAGACGACGACGATGAAGAAGAAGAAGTTGCAGGAGATTTCTTACTTCTGAACAAATCTAGTCCCATACTCAAAAGATTCCCAACACCTTTCGCTCTCGATGGGCTTGTCGGAGGCCTCAAGCTCGAAAACGACATCGGTTTCCCTTTATTTTCCACCGACATCGGCAATGGCCCCGACCTCCCCGGTGACAAAGCCCAGTTTGACTTGGCACTTCCATATGCAGTCAATGAATTCGCTCTCTTCACCCCATTCTTTATCTTACTAAAATTTTTCGGAGAATTTTCTGGCGATGCTGGGATCGGAATGTTTGAATCCGATGTCCCTTTTCGAGGCCTGTTTGATAAATACCTCGACGAAACCTCGATACCGGACTTTTTTGATGACTGTTTTCCGGTACCTGAAGATCCAAAACTGGTGCCGGAACATACGTCGCTGCATTCGGATTCGGAGTCTTGGGTGTCTGATAAAACTGAGTCTGATGATCTTTGCCCTAATGATCTCCGGCGAAGCGCATTTTCATCGACTGAGAATCGTCCCGGAATTATATCATCGTGTAAAGCCGGAGACTGATTTGATGATGAAGAAGTGGATGATCGACCCGGAAAGCGTAACTTTCCGGCGTACCTCATCGACCCTCCGAAAAAGGGTTTGTGATTATCTTTCACACTTTTTCTGGGTTGTTCATCTTTCTCAAACCTACTGAACTCTGAACAACTTCTTTGTCTGTTAAGAAACGTCATGGAATTATCGGAGTTTTCGTTGCTTTTGTTGTCGTCGATAATGAGGTCTTTGAGCCTATCATTTCCAAGATATTCAGCTAGAGTACCAAGCTTTTTGTTTGAAGAACTTGTGGTGGTGGTGGTGGAAGTGGTGGAGGTGGTTGAAGATGGCCAAAGTCCACGAATCAACCCACCGTCTTCGAGGTTTCGTTGCTTTCTACTGTCAGTAGAAGATCTGGGTTTTTGCCGGAGCGGAGAGAATGAGTGGTCCGGAGATGGGATTCCACTTTCAGTCGGACCAATGGAGCTCGGAGAGAAATAGCGAGAGCTCACATCGCGAGACTTCGACCGCCTCGGCTTGACAAATTGATCAGAATGCAATAGGGTCTCACTGTCCGTTTTCATTATTTTGATTAGAAGAAAACAAAATGGAGAGTGAATTAGAGAGAGGGGAATTGAGATTTGAGGATGGAGATTGTTTGTAATGGAAAAGAGGATGAGAAGAAAAACAAACGGTTGGAAAAGTGGCGGCAAAAAATGGAGTCAGCCGGCGAATGTGGTTGTGAAAGTGAAATTACTAAAATGGCGTTGTGGGCCGGTTAAAATGGTGAGTTCTTTGGGGGTAATTTGGGAATGAAAATGACTTTAAAAAGATTTTTGAACTGATTGATTGACTGTGAGAGACGTTGGGCAGTAGATGACAAGAATGGAGGAGGAGGAGAAAGAGGAGAGACTTTCGAGGATTCTGTTTGTGTTCGTTAGTTTGTGCTTAGCCGGCATTTGAAGTGGAAATGGGTTGTGGGTATGTGACACGTGGCCTTTTTCTTCATTGGGGTCCGCAATTTTGTGGGCCCCACACCCATGTGAGACATTTGATCATTTATTTGGTAGAAAATTTGGGACCTCTAGCATTTTCCTTTTGAAATATAGAATTTGAAAAGAGGTTGACACTTGAAAGATGAGGAACAAGTCAGCTGGCCAACCAACAGCCACCAGGCTCATATAAAAAGATAGCCTTTGATTTGTTTTGTATGATGTTATGTACATCGATTAATAAATAATATAATATAATTTTATAAGTTTTGATTGTTCGTAATTTACATATTAAGTGGGGTAATAATTTTAAAATAATAATATCATAACATATATTGATACACTAATTAATATTTCAATTAGTACATATAACACTTTTGCTAATTTTACTGTATTATATATATTTTGTTGGAAATATTATAGTCATACGACATATACATTGAATATATGTATTGAGCTCTCCTTTGGCATAATGATGTATATCACTAAAAGTTAAAAGTGGTGCTCTAAAGCACCACTAGTAAGTTGGCACACACTAAAAAAAAAGTACAATAACACTGTGGCAATGAGTAGGATCCACTGTCATATCATTATTACTATGCGGTCTCAATCATTTTTCAAAACTAAAAAACCAACTTGCATCCCAAACCATTACACTATCGTACTTGTAATAAAAAGAAATTTCAAGTAAGAATGGAGTGAAACCAATCATGTGTTTTTTAATTTTCTCTTTAATTATTGTACCCTTTGTCCCTTCAATTAAAAATTTAAAACATAACAACAATATTAATAAAAAATATATATATATAAAAAAAAAAAACAATTAAAAATTTAAAGCATAACAACAATATTAATAAAAAATATATATAAATAAATAAAAAAAAACCTTTATCACCCTTGCATCCCACATGTTTTTTTTGGCCTCCCTATCATAATTTTAAATAACATATAGTCATATATATCTATATTAACAATATGGTCATCTATTAATCGATATCAAATGATATATTAATAAATAATAATATCAAAAATTCTATTACATATTAACTACTATAATACGTAACGATCGATATTTAAATACAATACATAATGGTTGATATTTAAATACAACACGTAACGACCGACATTTAAAACCTTACTCAACCGACATTTGAAACCTTACTCGCTATCGTTCTTGCAATTCCTTCAACTTAAACCCAATTATTCAAATCAGTCTGCCTTTGTTTTGTTGGTCGTGGTGGCCAAAGTCACAACCAATTCAAGGAAGGGGTATGTGCACCAACTGAATCTGACAAAGACATTACTTTAAAAGGAGAAAGGTTTAGATACCTCTCATAGATTCTGATCACCAAAAAAATACTGAAAAACATTGTTATCAACTGCCAAATAATCAAATAGATTTGCAGCTGATTCTAGTAGGTAATAGGTATATAAATACATATCAACTTGATGGTAAATAAATTACAAATGAGAAACAAATTAAACAACACCAAATCATATTATCAATTGAATACCAATGTTACAGAAACTAACCTTTGCCTGTTTTTACAAAATTCTACAAGCAGTCCTCGGTACAAAAAATTTCACTCTTCAACACACACAACCAGATAGCTCATGGAAGAGATTGAAAACGAACCATATTTTCAAGTCAATGAACATTGCACTGTTGCAATAGAGGATGGGTATAATCAACATACTTATCCCAAAGAGGCTTGTACTTTTCCATTCCAATCTTCAACCATGGCTTTGAGTTCCCATTATAGTGCAGTACAGCCCCCTTCTCTATCATTTGAGGATTAACGGTCGTATAACCCAACCCCAATATATGCCACATAGGGTCCAGTGGCTCTGTCAACCCGTAAAAAGTCAACAGTCCAGGTGGTAGCGTACCCAGTTTCCACAAAGTACGGTCTACATTTTTCTCCTGCCAGTAGTGATAGATCCCTGTCACATTCCTTTTCCTCCACTCAACCAAGTCAAAAACATTCATCCCAAATGCCCATCCACATGCATCGGGATCAAAATGTGCTCGTATAAGAGGGTGAGAATAATTCAAGTACTTGTGATATCTATGAAATGTCTCCATGCAAGTCTCGACTGCCCCGTTAACATTACCATTCAGATCTATGGAGAACAGAGCTGACAAATCCTTCTGAACCACAACATCGTCATCGAGAAATACCACTTTCTTCAGTGCAGGAAAAACTTCTGGGATATAAAACCTAAGGTGATTAAGCATAGATAGGTATTTAGGGTTTCGGAACTTAATTGGGGTCCGACCATCATCACTGTTGCCAGAGAAATAGTAGTTCTGAGTGTCGGAGTCTTGAAGCTGCTTAAGGACCGGAACATAAGACGCATTTAACCAGCTAAAGTCTTCAAATTTTTGGACATCAACTGTCACTCCTCGGAAACTGTTGATGGAGAACCAGGCCTTCATTGCAGCGTAGTTCACTTCATCAGTTACAAGGTGGAACACAACCATGTGAGGATTTTTGGAATTAAAAGCAGTTGAATTGACCACAACGGAAGTTGCAAGAATGTTATCGGAGAAGACGCAGAAATGAAAAAGACTGTCATCTCTAATTTTCACGGTTATTTGCCTTTTTTCTTTCAGTTTCCTCTGTATATTTGAGTTCCTGAACCATTCGGTCGTTAACTGAACACCAATGCAGTATAAACTCTTGGGAACCTCCTCAGCAGCTATTTGTCCATACTTTGAACTCTTCTCACTTACCAAGTTCATCTGTTCTTCAAGACCCTGGATTTTGGCTTTAAGTCTCATGATCATGGTTGCACTGTCGTAATGGAGTTGCTGGGCTTGGTAGAGAAGAAGTGCCATATCATGAATTGCAGTTTCTGATTCTCTGGTTGTCAAAGGATTTCGTCGCAGTGCAGCATTTGAAAGGAGGACCTGTGAGTTACGAATCTGGGCACTTAATTCCCATGCAAATTGGAGGTTGTTGCTTTCTTTTGCAATCACAACAAATGCCTTTGCAAGAGCAATTTGATCACTAAGTTGCCTCGCAACTGAGTTGGGCCTCAACATTTCGTCTGTAATGTTAAGGCCTTCTACAATTCTGTCATGCCTGTAAGATCTCTGCAGCAAACAAATGCAAATACCAAATTCATAATTTGCAAATAATAGCTTGATAAGTGAAAAAGCAAAGAAAAAAAGCTGAACACACAATGGGAAACAAAAACATCATCCTCAATCCTGAAGAATTATTGTTGTCACTACAGAACCAGACAGAGTCCAAAGATCATCTCATTTCAAACACTTCGAAATATGTTATGGTAATTTTTAGTAGCATATGACAACTATTTAAGTTCAAAAATCACACCTACTCCCTATCGACCTTCAGTTTTAATTGAAAACCGTAACCATCACTTGCCAAATTTTTATTTAGAACTCATCCCTATTTTCTGTTTCTTTTTCTTTCTTTCTTTCTTTCTTTCTTTCTTTCTTTCCCATAGCCAAATGTGAGACATGTCCATCAATGTGTGTATGTACATAAATTTATTTACAATCCAATAAAGAGGAAATTTTAAAGTGAAATGAGGGGAACTTAAGATAAGATATTCACAATATAATAGACACCCATAGAAAAGACGCAGTTAAAAAACAACCAAGGCCAAATCTGATGAGGTATTCAGTTCGTCCTTTTTTAGCATCTGGTCAATGCTTGGGCCCAACCCAAGCAGAGTAAATGATGTAGGCGTGATTTTAGCAACTAAATATATTTAATTTTGACTAGGTTTATTATTTAAGTCTAGAATTTTTAGTTTTCTAATTTATTGAGTTTCCTATTTTGTTGGTTACTTGGTCTACAAGAAATATAATTAGGGGTTGTTTGGAGTGTCCTAAATAAGTGTACTTTTTGTCTTTTTGGACTAAAAAGTTGAGGGAAAAAATATGGATGTTTGGGTTAACTTTTTGACTTTTTACGGAAAAATGTGTAATAAAAAATTATAAAAATTAGTTTGTAGAGGAAAATTAGGATAGCGAGTTGTGCAGCCGTAATTATTGACTTTTGGTGAATAGTGTTAACTTTTTAACTTTTTGAGTAACTTTTTGACTTTTTAACTTTTTTTTAAATATCCCAAACTTGGCCTTAGTTTCTTCATATTTTATTTTCCTTTTTTGTATTGTTGGAATTGTTATCATTAGCTAAGGGCGGTGTTTTGATTATTAATATAAATTGAGAAAAAAGAGAGTTTTACTTCTTTGTGTTTGTCCGTTATTATTCTTGTTGCGACATTCTTGGTTTTACATCCTCACGCTCAGAGCTCAAGTTCAAAACCTGATAATGGCACATGGTGGAGGTGCAGTCAGGGGACAGAATGCGAGACATGCCACTATTGAAGAACTGTAAGAGAGATGACGCTGCACAAGATGCTCGATCAGATGAAAGAATTCAACGGATTGAGGAAGCATTAGGTGTGGTCACCGAACAATTGGCTGCCTTGACTGCTGTGATTCAACCTCACAACTGCCAGCCAAACTAACGTCCTAAATGGTTTAAGATGATCATTCTGTCACCAGCCCTTTTGCTGAACATCAGTCCAGGGAAGGGCCAAGTTATGTTACATGGATTCGGTAATGGCTGTCAAGTGTGGGTGTTGGGTGCGGATGCATATCTAGAGGTTAGGCCCATCAAATTTCAAATTTAAAAATACATGGACTCGGCAAAAAAGGTTCATACTTTCATATTTTTAATCTATTAGGTGAGATAAAATAGTGTTACAATGTCAAAAGACATTTTACTCAATTTATAGCAATTATACAACAACACACATAATGATTATGTCAAATACAAATATCTGAAAAGTGTTGGACACATCCCACAACCTTGTCCAAGTGTTTGATTTAGTTTGAAGAGTCCAAGTAACATAGGGAGCAGGGGAGTCACGACTAATAACCGTGATTCTTGATGCTGGGAGTCTCGTTTGAAGATCGACTTGCCTAAGTTCTAGGGAGGTTGACACCAGAATAGTTCCTAGATTGGTTGTTCACATCATCTACTACTCCAGATCTAACTATGGAATATAATAAACCACCAATTTTGATGAAGATGTGTAAAACTAAAATTGAAGTCGGTGAAAATATTACCCTACTTGATACAGACATTTCTTCAAAATCATCCTTCAATTTGTATTTTACAGAGTTGACGTAACAAGCGGGGAGAGGGGCAAAATCTATGAGAGAGTCAAGCTTCAGAATTGGCATTGATAGGTCCTTTTTCATCCAAGAATTTATTTGAGGTTGATGTGTGGACCCATGTTGCTTATGTTCTACACGGGACAACGATTCAATAATACACACTTTTGAACAAAATTCAAAACCTACTAAAGGAATAGTTGATGCATTGATCTGCAAGGAAAAAACAATTTTTGGCCTGACAAAAGATTTTGTAAGAGATATCATAAGATTGTTTGATTTCATGCTAGAGTTGGTCTAGGAATTTTTTCAACCAAGTTATAATGTGGAGTATTTTTTATGATTTGATTATGAATTCGGGTTTGCAATTTTGAGTTTGATTCATAAGACTGTGCTTAAATCAAGATTAGTCTAATTTATTTAAAGAAATAGTTCCTTTAGTTTTGGAAGACTTTTCTTTGAAATTGAGGTATGAGAAAACTAATCTTAAATACAAGGTAGATGCGGACAAGGCAAACGTGTCAAGTGATACCAAGCAATGGAAACTTGAAGGCAAGCTTTTTCAAACGAGGGAGAATGATGCAAATGAGATTTTAAGAATATTACATTTTTATTTTTATTATTTCAGAATTAGTAATTGATTAGAAATATTTTATTTTAGTATAGAATATTCTATAAATATTAGGTTTCCTAAATTGTGTTGACTATGTTTTCCTATTTTATGCGTTTCTTGCTCTACAAGAATCAAGCTTTTCCATGTTAGGCATTCTTAATTAGAAAGAATTAGCCTATTTGGAAGTTTTCTAGATTGCTCTACGAGAATTAGTTTGGCATAAATACCTATGTAAAAACCTTGGGACAAACAAGTTTTTGATGAATTATTAGTAAATTAAAAAGTGTTTTCTCTATATTGAGTTGTTCTTTGTTGTCTTTGTTGCTTGTATTCATTCAATAACTGCTTCCTTGCATCACTATGATGCATACGATATTTTAGGAATATTATAGCCGACCCCATTTGATGGGACTTAAGGCTTGGTTTGGTTTGGTTTGGTTTGGTTTAGTAGTTGATTAGCGATTTTTTTTTTTTTATTTCAGCATAAAATATTCTATAATCATTAGGTTTCCCAAATTATATTTGATTAAAATTTTCTTATGTTAAGTGATTCTTCTTATACAAGATTATATTTCTTAATTATTTTCGTTGGTCAACAAAATATGTTATTTTCCTTTTTAGACATTCTTGATTAGAAAGAATTAGCCAATGTGAAAGTCTCCTAGCTTGCTCTACAAGGACTAATTATCATAAATGCCGATGTAAGTTATTCATATTTGTTTTCGTTGGTCAACAAAATAGTGAATTATTTATAATTGCAAAGTGTGTTTTCTCTATATTAAGTTATTCATGTTTGTTCTTTCCTGTTGCTTGTGCTCATTCAATACATGTTTCCCTGCATCAATTGGTATCAAAGTGTGTGCTTGATTCCAAACCATTGCATGACAAGGAATACGTGGTGGTTGATACGTTGTTGAAGATGTGTACAAACTGGAAGGCACAAATAGAGAAATAATGGTTATAATGGCTTCAAGACACTATTGGTGCTTTGGCAAAAAACCGTAAACATCTTAACAAGAATTGTGCTAGAGGATTTGTTTGTGGCCACCTATTAACAAAAATGTTTGGGTAAACACTTTTCGTTATCGATCTAATAGCAATGGTGAATCTTGACGTTGGAAGACTAGTTTGAAGATCAACATTCCTGAATTCCCTGGAAGTTTGACACCAGAAGAATTCCTTGCAATGGATGATGATCCTGACTTGGTAGGCTTTCAAGGTGAAAGACCAACAGAAGATAATGCGTCGAAGGGTTACAAAGATCAGATGGACTATGTTTTAGAACAAGAGATATTTAGGGATTTGGATTCCTTTTCTACGGAACCAAATATTGACTGGTATCTACATCCTATATATGATGATAACCCGAAGGAAAAAGTCGAAATTCATCAATAGGAAAGAAAAGACATTAGTAGCAATGTGTAGATGAACTCTCATAAAATGGAGCATCAGAAGCTTGAGAAGAAGCTTCTAGAATTCAATGTTGCAGACATAAAAAATGATTCATTAAAGAACCCTATCAACATGGCGACTCATTGTCAGGTCTGCAACATATTGGTATGGGATGAAACGTTTATGAATCATCTGTCAACAAAGGACACCAGTATAATTGTTGAGAGCAACCAAAAATATATGGGATTCTTTGGTAGTGTTGATGGCTTGAGAATTAATTGCAAGGTTTTTTTTGATAAATAAACCAACTTTATTAAAGGCATCAAGGCGATGCAAAGAATACAAAAGGCAGACTAACAAACAAAAAGCAGCCTATACCGAAACTACACAAAACATTAATAAAAGCAAGCAAAAGAACTATGAAGACAAATCCTCTACAAATTCAACAAAAGACAAAACAGCCGGGTCCACAGTCAGCGTTAACCAACTATGCACCATGAGGAGCAAACGCCTCTCCAACCAAACCGCCGAACGCAACTCCCCCAAAAAAACCCGCCGATTACGTTCCAACCACAGTAGCCACATAAGACAATGGCCAGCCAAGTTCCAAGCTTTCCGCCTTCTCTTCCCAATCCTCCCCGCAACCCAGCTTTGTAACACAGCCCTTACAGTCCCTGGCTGAACCCAATCCAAACCGAAGAGAGCTACTATAGATATCCAAAGGCGTGAAGCAACCGGACAGCAAATAAGCAAATGATCCACCGACTCCGCAGCTCCACAACACATGCAACACCAGTTGACCAAAATATGCCCACGACGACTCAAATTATCAATCGTCAGAATACGGCCTAATGCAGCTGTCCACACAAAGAAAACAACTTTAGACGGACAACTCACCACCCAAACACTCTTCCAAGAGAAAGGCACCCCAACC